TACCTGTTGTGAAGGCGGAGACAGAGCGTAATTCTGCTGAGATTGAAGAGGTGCTGGGTAGTGTTGAATGGCCTGATTCTGATGTTGCGGGGGAGCTCGAGGTCGAGGTTGATATCCTTGAGAAAGACCCGGATTAGCCGGACCACCAAAATTTCCGAGGAGAGTATTCAAGACGTCGGAAGAATTCTTGTACGAGAAGTTGGGATGATTCTTCCACCCCGGATTGTACACATTCGAGTACAAGTTGTTATCTACGTAGTAGACATCTTCGATCATGTACCCGTTGGCTGATATGTCTAAGTCTGAGATCTGATGGGCATTCTCAACCTGCATTTTAAGTTTTGCCAATTCTGCACGTAAAGCCTGAATTTCAGATAGACTTTCCTTACCTGCACGATTGTCTTTGAGGCTAACGTTTCTGATAAACTCGTGAGAGGGAGCACACTCGTTGGCCATCTTGTTGATTTGTTGCTCTATGAAGTTGAATGATTTTTCATTGAGGCTTCCTCCACATGCTACTCAAATAAGAACCCGAGTGTCCTCCTTTAATCCCTGCAAGAAAGTGGAAATAAGGTACATTTTATCCCATCCATGGTGAGGACATGTTCTCTGGTATCCTTGAAAGCGATCCCAAGCTTCACGTAAGAATTCATCAGGTTCCTGCAAAAATGAGTTAATCTGTTGTTTCGCGAGCTAGGTCTTACTTGCGGGGAAGAACCGCTGCATGAACTTTTCTTGCATTTGTTCCCATGAGAATATGGAATCTGGAGGTAGTGTGTAGAGCCATTCTAGAGCAGTATCCATTAAGGAGAATGGAAAGGCCATGAGCATGAGAGACTCATCGGTAACTCCGCGGACTGTCCTCACCGACTGGCATAGGCGAGTCAAGTGAGAGATTGGGTCTTCATTAGGTTTGCCCCTAAAAGCACTTCATCTAGAGTTTTTCTCTCCCGAGCTTAAACTCACTACCTAGAGAATCGATTTACCAATCTCCCAATGATCTAAATGATCTCTAGATGCATTAATGTACCCTATCATGAACCCTAAGCAAGTTAATCCATCTCTCAATGTGAATAACTCACTCATTTGATGTTTGGTTCCAAACATCATCCTCATATCCCTATGATCAATGTGTTCAAACATCACACCAACTAAGATTTCGCCAAAGTTGATAGCATTAAGCACAAAACATCAAACCCATGGAAGAAAACTCATAAACATCATAGGTTAAGCATAGATATCCATACAAAAGTGGGGATCCCTCACCCACAACAAAGTCACTACTCCATATCTAGGGTTTCAAAACAGAAAGCAAAATGAAGAAACATAGAGAAGGGGAAGAAAAGCTCAAGATGGTCTTCAATGGTGGCCTTCTTCTTCTCCAAGCCTCCTAGATCTCCAAAATCTCCCTTTCCTCTTCTCCAAGTTGATTTTTCTCTCCAAGTGTGCAGCCCCCCTTCTGTCTCCTCAAACTCCTCTTTTAAAGAAAGTGCAAAATTAGGTTTTCACCTCAAAGTTCAGGCTTTTCCTTTTTGGGCCGCATTTGATATCAGGCGATCGCTCATTTTTTGTTCAGGGTCGCTCATTTTCTCTTCAGGGTCGCTCATTTTCTCCTTTTCAGGCGGTCGCTCATAATTTCAGGCGGTTGCTCATTCTTCTCTAACACTTCCAATTCTGCGTTTTTATCCATTTTCAGACGGTCGCCCATAAAACGGGCGACCCACCTGAATTCTCTGAGCTCCCCGGGTCTTCCCGAAAACGTGCTCTTTCGTGCCACGCCCGTGAAAATTCTCGTGGATTCACCCTGCAAGGGAAAAACAAGCAAAAGAGCCTACCCATAGCCGACTAACGTCCTATAATACCTAAAATTATGAAGAATTGTAATGCACGACGTTAGAAAACCGGTGGAAAAACCGTGTGATCAAATCCCCCCAGACTTGAGGTTTGCTCGTCCTCGAGTAAATGTGCAATTATAAAACTATCCAAGGGGTGATAAGATATAGTTGGAATACGAATGGGGGTTGAGAGTGGTTTGGTTGTCCGGGTTAAAGTCGCTGCGAATGAAATCGAGTTTGGTATACTCTATCTTTTCTAACATTCAAGCGAAAGCCTATCAATGGGATTTCCATTGCTTCCTGCGGTCTAAAATGGAATAGGTCCTACTTGCCGAGCATGTCTCCTAAACACATCCCAAATGAGATCTCCAAAAGTTAATTAACCTATAATTCCACTATTTCCCTTGCCCTATGTCTTTTCTTTTTATTCGTGTTTTTGTGTTCTTTTTCTTTTTCTTTCTTTCCTTTTTTTTTCCATTGATGCAATCCCGGGCTTCTAGGACGTTGGAATTTGACAAGCCTACTCTTTTATCTTTTTTTTTCTTTGTGTTCTTGTCCCACAACTTAGACCCGAGCCTTTGTTTTCGACGCACTCATATCCCCGAATGATTTTCATTAACGAGATGATGACAGAGGAGTGTCGGGATGCATCGTATCTTCTAGGGCTTGTTGCTTCCTATAGGTTTCCTAACTTAGAGGTCAAAGGGTGGTTTTTAGGGAGACGTTTCGCGCTTGGTTCGTAACCTCTACTCCCCCTAGACTTTAGGAGACAAAATCATCTCACTTGACATTCATTCGCTCTAGGATTGGATTAGTTATTTCTACCTCACTCGACAATCCATTCAACTCTTTAGATAAGTCTAAACTTAGCTCCTAAAACCTTTCCAAGCCAATCCTCACCCTATGATGAGGACATCCAGATCATAGACGACATAACGGATGGGAGCTTGGACGAGGGAGCATACTCGGAGCTAGGAGCTGCACCGGAGCTAGGAGCTGCACCGGAGCTAGGAGCTGAACCGGAAAAGGAGGATCCGCCTAACCAAGTAACGAGCAAGGAACCGAACATGGCAGCATCAAAACCGTACACGATTCCAATCCCGATTCGCATGGATCCTCCCCTTACACGATCCAAGACACGAACACTCCGACAACAATTCAATGCCTTCGTGTCTCATGTTGTGAACGGGCCAAACGACGGAGATGTGTGCCTCTTTACGTTCGTAAAGAACAAGACCCGACTTATCCTCACTTGCTAAGAATAGATTGCTTCAAACTCAAGACAACACTCAAAGGAAGCTTCTTGGAGGGCAAGCTAACTTCTCCAACAGCTAGTACACTCCCATCTACCTCATTAATGGCGAAAATTCTGCAGCTTTGCATGAAGACTTGCATTTAAGATTCTAGTTGTTGTAATTCTTCATTAAAAACCCATGTAGACTCATTTGAAAACACCTTTGATCAATTTGCAATCTAAGTATTATTTTTACAGAATTCTCTCCACTTGTGTCGAGCATTCTAGCTTGGTTTGTCCGAGTTCTTTTCTTGGTTCGTCCGAGATTCAACCTTGGTTCGTCCGAGGAGCGATTTGGTTTGTCCGAATCCAACTTCTATCCTTCGCTCGTCTCTCCGTTTCGGGATTAAAGTCGAGCATCAATCTGATCAGAGATTGATCCCGAAATCCATCCATTCATTACCTACTCATTCCTCGAACTAGATCGAATTCGAGTGCCCCTTGGGCCGGTGATCGAACCTAGTCCATATCCTCTCCGGAAACAGCCCTTCCGCAAGCCCGTGGCATATATCATTTTGGTATCAGAGCTTTAACGCTCCAACGGCGATCTAAACCCGGTGAGATCTCTCCATATTTACATTTTCGTAATTTCATTTCATTTACATAAACCGAAAATCGTATTTCACCAAAAACAGTTTTGTATCAACGATTCTACGTATTTGATCACTTCTCTTTTGTTTGACAGCGAAATCGTGGAGCAATCAGCCCCAAGACTCACCAACAACGCACGCTAGAGCTCTTCACTTCGGTTGTTTCGTTCCTCTCTTCACTTCTTTCGATTTCGTTGATTGCACGCCGAGTGTTCATTGATTGTGCGAAAAATCTGTTTTGTTGAATCTATGCGTGGTATAGGTTCAAGTGCACGTTTGAAGTGTTTTACCTACTGTTCTAATACTCGTTTGTGGTTGTGTAAGTTCGTTGTTTGAACCGCAAGTGACAGCACATTTATTATTTTTGTCGATATCGCTTTGCACGTTGATTAATCGCATCTCGTTTGTTCGCACGTCGATATCACTTTACACGTTGGTTGTCGCATAATTGATTGTGTTGTCTGCTGTACGTATTGCTAGTTCGCGAGGATATTATTCATCATCAGCACGTTGTTTGGTTATAACTCGTTGCTTGCCGATTGAACGTTGATTGCGTGATTGTTGCTTGTTTGAATCGCCAGCGCGATGAGTTCGAACAATCTGTCCAATGAAGGTGCGAATGTCGGATCCAGCCAAGATCCCATATTCCAAGCCCTTCAACAGATTATGAACCGACTCTCTAGGCTAGAAGAATCCATCCCAGCCACACAAACTGTTAGAGAAGCCGAACCGCGAATACGTGAGCCCGTAGAACGACCTAGGCAAAACCGAAACCGAACTCCCGAACCAATAGACAACGGAAGTGACATCGAGCCAAGACATAGACCGAGGGGTCGGGTAGATGATGAGGGGTCGGAATATGATGAACCGCCTAGACGTCGAGCAGCGCCTAGGGCTAGAGCAAGGATAAACCATAGACGAGATGAGTTTGATGACCTCGAAGAGGATCTTTATCGAGAACAGCCCCGTGCTTATCGCGGGCCGACCGAGCTCAAGCTCAAACCCCCATTGTTTCTAGGAAAGGTAGATCCCGAAGCATACTTGGATTGGGAGCGTAGGATAGACAACATCTTTGAATGTTATGCATACGGACCGCAAGAAAGTCCAATACGCCCCCGCACAACTCGCGGAACATGCTCTCACGTGGTGGGATCGGGAAGTAAACGAGAGAAAGAGAACTCGTTGTGAGCCGGTGGAGACATGGTGTGAGATGAAAATCCTCATGCGTAAACTATACGTTCCCCCTCACTTCCACCGTGATAGACAACATCTTTGAATGTTATGCATACGGACCGCAAGAAAGTCCAATACGCCCCCGCACAACTCGCGGAACATGCTCTCACGTGGTGGGATCGGGAAGTAAACGAGAGAAAGAGAACTCGTTGTGAGCCGGTGGAGACATGGTGTGAGATGAAAATCCTCATGCGTAAACTATACGTTCCCCCTCACTTCCACCGTGATCTCCAAAGGAGATATCGTAGAATCGCTCAAGGTGCTAGGACGGTTGAAGAATATTATGAGGAATTTGAGCACCTTAGGAGCCGATTAGAACTCGATGAGGAAGAGGAGACGGTTATGGCTCAGTTCTTGGACGGACTGCAGGAACGGATTGCTCGTAAGGTTGAGCGTCATCCATACCATGACCTTCACGAGTTGCTTCACTTGGCTGTACAAGTCGAGAAGCAAGACCAATGGAAACAAAACCGACTAGGTAAAATTAGAGCTTCACCTAGTATCCAATCTCCAAACCCGAAACCTACAGCCACACTCAAAAAGGAATTCGCCGAGAACAAAGGCATTCCTGAGTTTCGGGACAAAGGAAAGGCCCCCGAAACGTCGCGAACTAAGACCCTCAATGAACATCCTCATGACACTCATGCTAGAGAGATCATGTGTTACAAGTATCGAGGGAGAGGTCACATGGCTCGTGAATGTCCGAACCAAAGAGTTATGATCACTACGGACAAAGGAGAATACGAGTCTATGGACGAAGAGGAAGTTGGTGATCTCGAAGAAGAAATCGAGTATCCGGATAGTGGCGAACTTCTAGTCACTAGACGAGTGCTTAGCGCTTTAGTAAACCCGGATGAGACGGCACAGAGAGAGACTATATTCCATACGCGATGTACCGTACAAGGAAAAGTATGCGGTATGATCATTGATAGTGGGTCATGCACTAATGTTGCGAGTGATTACATGGTGAAGAAGCTTGGCTTAACCACCGAGAAACACCCACACCCTTACAAGCTTCAATGGCTTAACAACCAAGGGGAGATCAAGGTGAGCGAGAGAGTTAAGATCCCCTTTAGTATCGGGCGTTACCATGACGAGGTCATGTGTGACGTCGTTCCCATACAAGCGGGACATAGACTACTGGGTCGGCCTTGGCAGTTCGATAGAGAAGTAACCCACGATGGTAGGGCCAACCAATACTCGCTCGTGCACAACAAAAAGAAAGTTGTGTTGGCTCCCCTCAGTCCATCTCAAGTACACGAGATGCAGCTTCGACTAGCAAAGGAAACCGAGCCGAAGAAAGGGAACTTTTACCTTAAGGCTAGTCAGGTCGACAAGGCTATTAGACAAGAGCAAACGGTGCTTCTTTTGGTCTTTAAGGACCTCATGAGCTTGCGGACCGAAGCACCAAACGATAGCCCAGCTGTTAGTCGACTTCTTGAGCGATTTAGAGATGTATTTCCGAAAGAAATACCCGCCGGTCTTCCTCCTATTCGAGGAATTGAGCACCAAATTGACCTTATTCCCGGCGTCCCCTTGCCCAACCGGCCTGCTTATCGTATGAACTCCGAGGAAACCAAAGAGCTCGAAAAACAAATACAAGAGCTTCTAAATAGGGGTACATTCGCGAAAGCCTCAGTCCATGTGTTGTTCCGGTACTTCTAGTACCGAAGAAAGATGGGACATGGCGGATGTGTGTGGATTGCCGAGCCATCAACAATATTACGGTTAAGTATAGGCATCCGATTCCGAGGCTAGATGATATGCTCGATGAGTTGAGCGGAGCCACGATCTTTTCGAAGATAGACCTTAAGAGTGGCTACCACCAAGTGCGGATGATGGAAGGCGATGAATGGAAAACCGCATTCAAAACAAAACAAGGGTTATACGAATGGCTCGTTATGCCTTTCGGGTTTACGAACGCCCCGAGTACTTTCATGCGACTTATGAACCAGATCCTGAGAGCTTTTATCGGGAAGTTCGTCGTGGTATACTTTGACGACATCCTCATCTATAGCCATAGTGAGGACGAGCATGTGTCGCACCTAGAGCAGGTTTTGACTACCCTTAGGAAAGAAAGCCTATACGCGAACTTAAAGAAATGTTCGTTTTACAAGGATGAAATACTTAGGCTTTGTAGTCAGCTCTAAAGGCTTGAGAGTCGACGAGGAAAAGATTAAAGCCATTCAGGAATGGCCGACTCCCACTACCATCGGACAAGTCCGGAGCTTTCATGGGTTGGCTAGTTTTTACCGACGCTTCATGCGAGACTTTAGCAGTCTAGCCGCTCCCCTCACTGCTGTGATTAAGAAGGACGTTCCTTTTAAGTGGGAAGACGAGCAGGAGAAAGCTTTCCAAGCCCTTAAGGATAGCCTTACTAGCGCACCGGTCTTAGTTCTTCCAAACTTTGATAAGGTTTGAAATCGAGTGCGATGCATTCGGAATCGGCATAGGAGCTGTCCTAATGCAAGAGAAAAGGCCCGTAGCATACTTTAGTGAAAAACTCAGCGGGGCTACTCTTAATTACCAAACATACGACAAGGAACTATACGCTTTGGTTAGAGCGTTGGAGACATGGCAGCATTACTTGCTTGCCAAGGAGTTTGTCGTACATTCGGATCGTGAGACCCTAAAACATCTTAAGGGTCAGAACACTCTCAAGAAAAGGCATGCTAAGTGGCTAGAATTCATCGAGACATTCCCATACATCATTAAGTACAAAAAGGGAAAAGATACAACACAAGGATGTTGGGTTTCGCTACGGATTCCTAGCATGCGATCATATCGATCTAGGGTTTGGTTTACTAGGTTTCATGCAGCGGAAGAATAATCTAAACCTAGTCAAACGTCACACGCAACCAAAATCATCCGTAAAACCCCGTTTAATCGTGTATATCACCGTAGGAATCGAATACTTACCTCTTTCCTGAAGATCTGAAAGTAGCAATCGATCCAGGGCATGTTTTAATCACCAAGAGCTGAAAGTACAGCTCCTCAACACGTATCCACACCGACGGGAAGGATTCCAAACGCTTTTGGAACTGATCTGCTAAGATCTGTGAAGTGAATAGGGTTTTCAAGACTTGGGATCGAATCCCGGGAACTAGAACCTCAAAAGAAACGATTTTCTTGTGTTCTAGATCTGTCTTAGGGTTCTGTAAGTCAATCTTCTACTTAGGACGGCGTCCAACACCTCCTTATAAGTTAGAAACTCTAATCCTTGTGAAAAGAGACTTTTTCCGAGTATTGACTCGGTCCGAGTCAGAACTCTGACTCAGTCGAGTCAGAACGAATCAGCCCAAGCCCATTGTCAACTCTTGACTCGACCCATTTAGTATTGACTCGGTCCGAGTCAAAACTTTGACTCGACCGAGTCAAAACATCAGCTAAGCCCAAAACACTTTCTGGGCTTCGACTCGCATGGAACTGACTCGGTCCGAGTCAAATACTGACTCGGTCCGAGTCAGAAGGCTGAAAACATCCCGACACTCTGATTTGATCCGAAAACGATTTTTCCGACCAAATCCAAATCTTCCTTTCCGAAACTTCACATATAAGTTCATCCCTAATGGTGTGTGACACTGTAGGCCCATTCGCAGTGGCAGCAGCCTCGAGAACCATTCCCGATCTACAAGTCATAATTAGCCTCTAGCAAGACGCCATGACTACCCACGTTGAATTGAGTTAGAGGTAATCTAACCAAGGCAGTAACAGCTCGAGTTCTGATCCTTTGTCTCACGATATCATATGTTGAACAAGGGCATGGTTTGAGCCACCCTTCAAGTTCAACCGCTTTCTCGTCTTGGCAAATCGACTAATAAAATAGATGCAACTTCATCTATAGCGTGGCCACGCATTTTCATAGTCCGACTTCCACGAGAGGGCCCAGCGATATCTCTCCTGTTGAGGAGGTGACAAGTCCCATATTTCATGTCTACTATCTCCATATGATTCGTGAACGTATCTGATCAACGTCGTTATAATCATCCGGTTAAAGACGATGTTTGACGCAGTCAAGACACGCCACTCCTCATATCATATACTCTAGACATCTCAGGTCTGAGGATCCAAGAACGAACTGCTGTATTAGATTCAAGTCATGACTCTGTCCATGTGACAATCTCATGCGGGTCAACCAGTCACTCGTTCACCACGAGTACCCATGATTGTGATATGCATCCAATGCATCGATCACACCTCATGCTAGTCTTAATTCATCATTGTTCCCACAATGATAATTGACCAGGGTGTTTAGAATCATTCGATAATGATTCAAGGATACCGAAATATAACAAACATGCCAATCATATAACGGGAAGAGTAATGCATTCATGAACCAATGAATCAATACAAAGTCAAAATGTCATATCACGGATCATCCTAGAGCATCATAACCAACAATCTCCCACTATGCTCTATGATCTATCCTACAAGCATCTAATCCCCATACCCTTAACATGACCATCATGTTTTGACGAAGGGAGAGGTTTCGTCAACGGGTCGGCAATATTATCATTCGTCGACACTCTGCTTATCTTCACGTCTCCTCTGTCGATGATTTCTCTAATCAAGTGAAATCGCCTGAGTATGTGTTTGGATCTCTGGTGTGACCGGGGTTCCTTAGCTTGCGAAATTGCACCATTGTTGTCACAATACAACTCAATGGGATCTGCAATGCTAGGAATGACGCCCAGGTCTCCCACGAATTTCCTGATCCAAACAGCTTCCTTAGCTGCATCCGATGCTGCTATGTACTCAGCTTCCTTAGATGCATCTGTTTGGAGCTCTTCCAACTGATAGCCCCACCGTTCAGGCAGAAAACATAACCTGACTGCGATCTGAAGTCATCTCTGTCGGTTTGGAAACTAGCATCGGAATAACCACTTATAGCGAGCTCGTCTTCCAATCCGCCATACACCAAGAACAAATCCTTAGTCCTTCTCAAGTACTTAAAGATGTTCTTGACCGCAATCCAGTGAGCCTCACCTAGTGTAGACTGATATCTACTAGTCATACTCAATGCATATGATACATCCGGACGAGTACACAACATGCCGTACATGATGGATCCAATTGCCGAGGCATATGGAATCCTACTCATGCGCTCTTGCTCATCCTATGTCTTTGGACACTGAGTCTTGCTAAGAGCAACGTCATGTCCCATTGGCAAGGCACCCCTCTTGGAGTCTTGCATCTGGAACCGATTCAAGACCTTGTCAATGTATGTACTCTGACTTAGACCAAGAAGCCTTCTCGATCTATCTCTATAGATCTTGATTCCTAGAATATAGGCGGCTTCTCCTAAGTCCTTCATCGAAAAGACCGATCCTAGCCAGGATTTTACTCCTTGCAAGGTAGGAATGTCATTTCCGATGAGCAATATATCATCTACATAAAGCACAAGGAAGACCACTGCGCTCCCACTGACCTTCTTGTAAACACATGGCTCATCTTCGTTTTGCAGGAAGCCAAACATTTTGACTGCCTCGTCAAATCGAAGATTCCAGCTCCTCGAAGCCTGCTTCAATCCATAAATGGATCTCTGAAGCTTGCACACCTTCCTCGGACTCTTAGGATCAACAAAACCCTCGGGTTGTGTCATGTACACATCCTCGAGCAAATTCCCGTTAAGGAATGCGGTCTTGACGTCCATATGCCATATCTC